GCAGGCTATCCAGACTTCACAAACCCAGCGATGCGGGCCTGGTGGTCCAGCATGTTCAACTACGACCAGTACGAGGTAGGGGGTGAGGGGGTATTTCTGTCTTCTCTCTCTCTCTCTCTCTCTCACACACACACACACACACACACACACCCCTCTGGCTGGGATTGTAACCTTCTACTTGGGGTTTTCAAACAGAGATGATACAGCCCTTCCGTCAGGCACGGTCTAGGAATGGATCTCATGCGTTGATAAGAGGGTGGGAATCGGTGGAGCCCCTTCTCACACCACTTTGTGGAATAGCTCCACTTGTAGAGAAGTGCACCAGGCCCCTCCCCTCCTCTAATATCCAAGAAACACACAAAGACTTTCCTTTTCTGGGAGGCATTTCAGGACAATCGTCCCTTTCTAACTATCGGTCATTCAGTCTTGGTTTGACGATCATACTCTTCATCCTGTATCTTGGCCCTTGCCGCCATCTTGATTGTTAGATCTGTTGTTTTGTAATATGGACGTATCTTACTTTATTTATATATTTTGGGTTCGGGTGTGATTCGGCTGTCCTTGTTTTATTTTTCTGCTGGAAACCACCCAGAGTAGTTAGTGACCAGGCCACCAGATGGCAAGTTATAAAAATATGATGACAGTTGGACATCAGTATCTGCGAGGTCTCAGTTCCAAGCCCCCCCCCCCGTGGATGCCAGAAACAGCGGATAAGCGAAGACCTTCCTTCCAGTGTCTTTGGTGTCAGTGTGTGGCGGAGAGAGGGAGTGCTGGCCCCAGTCTTGTCCACAGGCTGGACATTCTGCCCTCTTGTTTTACAAGGGAGGCTTGCCTGAAACCAGCGACTGCCTCGCCACCCCCTGTCCCTGGTTCCCTCTAGTGGCCAGTCCTGGTAATACACTTTGGAAATGTGTATTTCTGGATTTTATTTATTTATTTTTTAAAAAATTTCTCTCCATGCGGCAGATCTGTGAATTCTGTGGGTACGGTGCTCCTCCTCCTGTAATTAAATAATGAATACTCCAGTTCTGTGGCTCTCTGACCTCTCTGACTTTTCCTCAGGGGTCCATGGAGAATCTCTATACCTGGAATGACATGAACGAGCCCTCCGTCTTCAATGGCCCCGAGGTGACGATGCACAAGGACGCCCTGCACTATGGGGGATGGGAACACCGTGACATTCACAACCTCTACGCTTTCTACGTGGTGAGTGCGACTTTCCACCCCCCTGTTTTGTGGGAAAAAGTGCGTCTTATGGTGTGAAAAATACGGTAAGTCTGAGTTGATAGCGAATCCCACGACTTGAGTCCCCAGTCCTGGCATAAACGCAACTTCCTGTGTGATGTTTCTGTTTCTGCCAGCCCTTTATTCAGAAACCATGAGGACTGGAATCTTGCTTCCATCTTTAGCAGTCAAACTGCCTTGGCTAACCCCAGCTGTAATTCAGAGTCCCCGGGAGGCCCAAAGGTGTCCTCACCTCCCTTCCCAAAAGGAGAAAAGCTTCCCGTTAAAAAATCGGTCATCCTATTTTGATTAAGGAGCAGGCAAACCGCCATGAGCCAGAGGAAAACAAGGAGGTGAAATGACAATCTGTACACATCATTTATTCATAATTGCCACCTTTCTTCTCCTCCTCTCCAGGGGCTGTGTGGACAGGGGACAACTCAGCGGAGTGGGAGCATTTAAAAATCTCCATCCCCATGTGTCTGAGTTTGGGTCTGGTGGGCATCTCATTCTGCGGTGGTAAGTCACGTGAGCTTCTGACAGCGAGCGCCAGAAAAAGTTTCGACTTGTGGTCTTTCAATGATACCTCCAAGGTTAAAGTTGTTGTCTGGCATTAATCAATGAATGAACTACTCTTGTATATCATGCCAGTTAGTGCTGGGCGCCGCTCTGGGCAATTTATATCCCAAATAACATAGGCATAAGATAAACCGCCAAGATGGTCAATCTCATAGGAAATGAAGAGGGGGAGGCTCTTAAAGGCTTCGGGAAACAGCCCTGTTTTGAGCATCCTCTCAAAGTTGTACGAGTGCTTTTGATGGTTGAAAGCAATTTCCATCTCTTGTTTTTCAGAGGTAAGGTAGGTTGGATATTATTGTGCCTGTATTGCCCGTGGAAATGCCAAGCTTTAAAAGGGCGTGGTCTGAGGTTGGCGCAGAGGTGAGAGTTGAACTAGGGCAGTGGCACAGAAAGGGCTCAGCGTGCCAGTTGGCACGCGTGCCATAGGTTCACCATCGCTGAACTAGAGTCTTCCCGTTTTCTTTCTCCCTCCCTATTGTTAAATCCATCTTTCCTCGGTGGGATCTGGCAGAGGGGCTCACCTGGGGCTAAGAAAACTGGGTAAAGAAGCCGTCTAGGAGAGAGAAACTTGTTTAACTAGAACCACCGAGGTTGAGTAGAGCTTTCCCATTCGAGGCAGTCGTTCAGCGGCACAGTGGTTAAGCTGCAGTCCTGCAGTCAAGACTCTGCTTGGATTTAGGTCACTGTCTCAAAGTTGATTTAGCCTTCCACCCTTCCCAGGTTGGTCAGTTGAGTCCCCAGCTTGCTGGCAGGGGGAGCAACATATAGCCTGCATAATGAGATGGTCAGCCACCCAGAGAGTGCTTCAAGTGCTATGGGGTGGGATATAAGCAGCCATATGTTGCTTTCCTTTGTTATTCAGAGATAGACCAATCCCAGAGGCAGCCTCTTGGCTTCATGCCCTGCTTATCAGCTACAGTGAGGTGTATTTCTTTCTTTTGGCTGCACTGCTTGTCCTTGAGTTCCTCCAAAAATCTCCCGGTTTTCTCTCCCCCCCACCCCACGAGCACTTTGTCACTGCAGTGGCCATGTGTGGGGTAGATCCGGCCGAGAACAGGCCAATTGGCGGGTTTTTGACTAAGTGAGGTTTGAACTTGGGTTCTCCCAGTCATAGTCTGAGATCCAGACCCAGGGTTGGCTAATCTCTCTCTCAGACAAGAGACCCCCTTCCAAGCTCACTTTGCCCCTCAGAGAGGCAGCATTTCCACCAGCAAGATGGGCATAATCAAGCTCACCCACTTTAACGAGGTTCCTGTAAGGAGGATCTGCTTCAGGTAGTAGCAGAAAGCGAGGGACAGAAAAGACCAGCGGTTTTCAGCTTGATGGTTCTTTAACTAAGCGAGCTATTTCTGCCTTTTTAGAATTTGGGACAAAAACCCAGGAAAACGAGTAGATGATGGTGTCTTAGGGAAAAGGGGCATGGCCGTCTGAGGAAGCTCAGAAGGAAGCATGGGCTCTCAAGAACGCAGGATTCGATTCCAGGACTTTGAGGGTCTACAGCCCTGCTCTGCCCTGTCCTGATTGGTTGGTGCTGGAATCAGACAAAAGGATTATCTCAGTCTTCGCTCTGATCTGGAAAAGTCCTCTCTCCGTCTTTTCTCTCCTACCAGCTGACATCGGCGGCTTCTTCAAAAACCCGGAGCCAGAACTCCTGGTGCGCTGGTACCAAGCCGGAGCCTACCAGCCTTTCTTCCGGGCCCACGCCCACGTGGACACCCCCCGCAGGGAACCGTGGCTCTTTGGGGAAGAGAACAAGGCGCTGATCCGGGAGGCCATCCGCCAGCGCTATGCCCTGCTGCCTTTCTGGTATACCCTCTTTTACCACAGCTACCGGACGGGGCAGCCTGCCATGAGGTGGGTCCGGCAGGGTCTCGCGAAACGGGCAAAAGCTGAGACGCCTTCGGGGGGGGGGAACCTGAAAGTCTGTCCTGGAGAAACTGGCCGGAAGATCGGCTGTAGGGTGGAAGAAAGATGGAACTCGTCAGCTGGGGGGGCTCCTCTACTATTACTCCTCTTGGATCGAGAAGGAGATGGAGGTGGCATCATTCGATGCTAGAGACCTCCTTTCCTTTCTCCCCAGCGCTGGTTTTTGGGGATGGAGAATCTCTTGAGTAGTGTGGGGTATTTGCTAGGACTGTGGCAGGACAGGCAGTCTTGAAAAACAGTGTCTGAATGTCCTTGTGCAAACAGACGTGTGTCATTTTGACAGGGAGTGATCAGGAAAATCTGTCCTTTTATCCTTCAAAACATGGACTTTTCAGCTGTGGTTTGTATTATTCGGTCCTCCTTCTGTCACTGGCCTCAAAGTTGATGGTGGTCGGTCCTCTGATCTTTTCCGATTCTGCTCCCAGAAGCTGCACTCCGCATGGCGAATGTTCAAATCGGCTTTAGGAGATGTGGACAAGGGTAGAGATGTAAAATATCTGGACATTTTGAAGCCATATAAAACGGCTTTGGAAAAAAACCTGGGAAGGCTTAGAGGAAAAAAGGGGGAAATTGTGGGGGGGACACACCCTATTCCTGGGAAGACTTAAAGGAAGAAAGGGAGGAAATTGTGGGGGGGACACACCCTATTCCCCCCCCCAACTTTTCCATTTTTCCCTCCTAGGCTGTCCTATCTCTAGGCAAGATGCAGTCCCAGCTAGAGATGTGAAATTTTGAGAAACTTGGACGCTACATGAAACAGCTTTGGAAAAAACCCCAGAAAAAAATGGGGCGAAAAGGATTATCCCCCCATTTTTTTTTTCAGAGCCATTTCATATGGCTTCAAAATTTCCAGAAGTTTTACATCTCTAGACAGGGATTATCCCCGTACAGGGATAACTTCAGCTTCAGAAGAAAGAAATGGCTGAGCAGATAGAAACCAAACGTATCCTAGTCTCTCTAAACCAGGGTTTGAGACAACATCCATATTGGATCCATTATCTCAAGCCAAACTCAAACTAAGGTTTGTTAGTTTAGACACTGTGCCAGGTTATCTTTGGATTTGACTAACCACGGTTTAGCGCGATGCTTGGGACTCTGCAGCCGCAATTGCTGTTCCTTCCTCCCCCCTGCTCCTTTCTGTCTCTCCACTGATGCTTTTCCCACCTTCCCACAGACCTCTCTGGGTGGAATACCCCGAAGACCCAACAACCTACAACATTGACGACCAGTATCTCCTTGGTAAGTTCTTCCTTATTCTCCATTTCCTACCCTCTGGCCATGGCTTTGAAGCGTTTTAAGAAACATGACCTCGTTGGATTTCTGGACGTTTTAGCTGAGAAATGATTCACACGTTTCTATTGAACACTTACCTCTTAAGATTTCAAATCATTAATGCATAGAATTTTGTTTGCTATCTGTGAATTTCGTTGTATGGTATACTGTTCCATTTCCTACCAAATCATTAATGCATAGAATTGTGTTTGCTATCTGCTGTCAAGTCGGAGCCGACTTTCAGGGACCCTAATAGGGCTTTCAAGGTAAGTGAGATATTTAAGGAGTGGCTTTACCAGTTCCAGTCCCCCCCCCCCATCTAATTTCCATGGCCAGGGTGGAATTCAGAATTTTGTTTGCTATCTGTGAATTTCGTTGTATGGTATACTGTGTATATACTTACAATGACAATAAATTATTATTATCTGCTGTCAAGTCGGTGCCGACTTTCAGCGACCATAATAGGACTTTCAAGGTAAGTGAGATATTTAAGGAGTGGCTTTACCAGTTCCAGTCCCCCCCCCCAGTCAATTTCCATGGCCGAGTGGGAATTCGAACCCAGGCCTCCTGGTCCATCACTCTATCCATTACACCAGACTGGATATCTCAATATACATGGAATACATAGAATAGAATGTTAATTAATTGATTTTGTGCCAACGTGGATTTGAACTTCTCAGGGTTTTCTAGGTATACCTAGAAGTGGATTCCCCTTTCTCTGCTTCTGGGGTTGCCCTGGGACTGTGCAGCTTGCCCAGGGCTACCCAGGCTGGTTCTTCTCCTCGGTGGCAGAGTGGGGAATCAGACTCCCAACCTCTAGCTTCGCAGCCAGATAACGAAATGAGGCAATCCTAAGTTATTTGGAGGGCGACAGATAATCATCATTGTTGTCATCTGCTGTTAAGTCAGTTCTGATTTAACAGTGCCTTTTGTTTTCCAGGTAGAGAATACTCAGAAGTGCTTTACTCTTTCCTTCCTCTAGGGGCGCTGTGGGATTGTGCAGCTTGCCCAAGGCCACCCAGGCTGGCCCTTCTCCCTCTAGTCACGTTGTAGAAATGAACTTCCTACACCTGGCTCAGGTGCCAAAAACCTCAGCTCAAATAGCAGTAGACAAATCAAATGTCCAGAATCCATGCTGTCTGTTTTGGCTTTTTTTAAAAGCATGGTAGGCTAAACGTACACCAAGAAGGGTCGTAAAAACAGATACGCTTTTCTGACATGCTTCTAAAAATTAGACTTGTTGGCCTCCATTGAATATTGGTAGGAAGGTTATTATCTCCCTATTATTTAGTCCCTGTGCTAAATTCCCTGCCCCAAAGAGGTCCACCTCCTTCTCATTATTATTTTAATGTACTTTGGTTGTGGTTTTTTTAAAGCATGGTAGGCTAAACTTACACCAAGACGGGTCGTAAAAACAGATACGCTTTTCCGTGCTTCTAAAAATTAGACTTGTTGGCCTCCATTGAATATTGGTAGGAAGATTATTATCTCCCTATTACTGTATTTAGTCCCCGTGCTAAATTCCCTGCCCCAAACAGATCCACCTGCTTCTCATTATTATTTTAATGTACTTTGGTTGTGGTGTGCAAAGTTAATTAGTAACTGGGTGCTTTTTCTGTTCATAGGTGTTAGCCTTGGTTGGTCGATCCCTCTGAAAAGTGATCCTTTTGAGATTAAGCAAATGTGTAACATTTAGTTTGTCCGTTCAACCGTTCACAGCCGAGTGAATGCAGCACCTAAAAATTCTGTAATCATCTGACAGCCTTAGAGCTGTTGGAATTATTATAGCGCTATTTTAAGAACTGTGTGACCTGTCAGAAGGTTGAGGTCTTCTTGATTTCTTGGACTACAAATCCTATGATACTCCCTCATTCTGGGAGTTCTACCTCACTGGGAGGAAAAGGCCCAAGCTGGACCGTTTTGAGGCTGAACTAGGCCTAGCACTATCTTCAGAAAGAAAATTCCCAGCTAGCACTGGGACAGGAACAGGAAGCTTAGGCCTAGCTTGGCCTCAAAGCCTCCCGGTTTTTGGCCTTCTGAGCGGGCCACGTGTAGGGGTCTCTAAGTCTGGTGGAACTCCCAGAGTGTGAAATTCCGGAGTTGTAGTCCATGAAATTTGAAAAATCTGTCTCTAATGTTGAGAGCGCTTTGTGTCCACCCTCTGGTTGTGTTCTTTGCAACATCCTGTGACGTGGACTTGATCCACATTGTGCAGAAGGGCTCAGGAGCAGCTGAGCGGGCAACAGACACGAGATCAGCACTGCTTCCCGATTTGTAGAACTCAAACCTTCTCCACTATATATTATAGTCGATGAGTTTATAAATATTGACTCATACATTGACAATAATGAAAGGTGGACAAGCTTTTTGCTTGTTTTGTTTATGTGCCAGCAAAAGGCCTTCAGTAATGACAAGGCGGTTGCCATTCAGAGAGAGTGTGAGTTTTTTAAAAGAAACGATGCGTTGTTTCGCACATTTGTCGACCTTGTGCTCAAATACCGTTCTCCTTGCAGGCGATGCGCTGTTGGTTCACCCGGTTACAGCCCAAGGGGCGCGAGGGGTGCAGGTGTACTTGCCCGGCAAAGGAGAGGTAAGCCGGGCTGGCACAGCAAGAACGAAGCAAAGCATTGTGGGAGTGGAAAGAAGAGGAGGGACAGTTCAGAATGTGAAATTCCCGTCCTTTCTCCCTAGCTGGGTGTAGAGGTGGCCGTGAACTTCGGTTCAGAGGTTCGTGCCAGTTCGCACACATGGGGCCCCAGGTGCCCCACGGTCCCTTCCTCTGCTTCCCCAGCTGAATCCCCCCCCCTTGCCAGCAGGCTCCTCCCTTCCTCTTTGGCTGTTCAGCCAGTCTGCGGTAGGAGCCCAGGCTTCCTTGCCCTGCCTCTTTGGCTGATGGCCGATTCTGACAAGGAGGCAGGACCAGCAAGCCCGGGCTCCTGCTGGGGACTGGTGGGACGGCCGAAGAGGAGGAGGAATAGAGGAGCCCCCCCCAGCTGACGAGTGGGTCACTGGTCAAGAAAGCTGAGGAAGGAAACGCAGACGAACTGGCATAAAACTCCACATCAAGGCTCACATCAAGGCTCGTTCGCATCTCCAGTTGGGTGTTCTGTGATCTCTTGTTTTATATTTATTGATTCTGTGTCGAGTCCTGATGGGCAGGTCATCTCACAGTCCAAAACTCTCTCTTCACTTTCCTTTTCTCTCACGCCCCCCCTCCCAATATACAGGTTTGGTACGACGTCCACACCCATCAGAAACTTCATGCACCCCTGAGTCCTTATGGGCAGGTCATCTCACTGTCCAAAACCCTCTCTTTCCTTTTCTCCCTCCCCACCTTGTACAGGTTTGGTACGACGTCCACACCCATCAGAAACTTCATGCACCCCAAACGCATTACTTAGCTGTCACCATGGGTACGGTAAGTCGGTGTGGGAGTGGCGGAAGGGCACATTCTAAAGTCATGAAAAATTGCTGGACAGGGCAGGTAAACCCCGGGGAGTGTGGGCACGAGGTGGGGAGCCGGTGGCCCTGTCGGGTCTCTAGTTCCTACCAGTTCTCGCCAGCCAGTGGGAGTTGTGGTTTGTTGACCCGTAGAGACCCACAGCTTCATCGGCTCCGACGTAGATAAAGAGCACGACTCGGAGGACTTCCCCTACTGTTTCCTCCGCAGATTCCTGTGTACCAGCGTGGCGGCAGCATCGTGGCTCGGAAAGAGCGGGTGCGGCGGTCTTCGGACTGCATGCAGAACGACCCTTACACCCTCTACGTGGCCCTGGGCCCCCAGGTGAGCAGGGCAGGGAACTGGGGAATGGGGCTTCGGAGCCTGTCCCGTAAAATTTAACACCAGACAGACTTGGGGTGGGTATGTTTGGGCACCTTGCTTCCAGGCCACTGCTCCTGAAGGGGCTTATCCTTGGCCCCTGCCGGTGCTCAGCGCCAGCTCTGTCACTAGACGACATGTGGCAGATGCCTCGGGTGCTTGGCACTGTGGGGTGCCCCTCTGGGAAGTGGGGAACATCATATCTCCTTGATCTCGGACATCCCCCTCCCCACTATTTTGGTTTTGTCGAAGAACAGAAAAGCACAACGCTGCATTTAACTCACCAATTCACCAATTGTTTCCCTTTCTAAATTCCCACACAGGGCACAGCTGAAGGCGAGCTGTTTCTTGACGACGGGCACACATTTTACTTTGAGACCAAGAGACAATACCTGCATCGCCGCTTCAGTTTCTCTGGCAACACCTTGATATCCAGGTACTTGTCTTGCCCCGTCCCCAGTCTCTCCTACCTTTATGTCATTCCCAGCAAAATAGCAAATTTGGGACTATTTGCCACCCCTTGAAATGACAGATAGGGCAGCGATGAGATGCTGTGCTGCTTTGTTCAAATATGTCTCCCTGCACATAGAAAACTAGCATGTCAGGGAGAAATGCTCTCCCAAAGCCCTGTTCACAACTGCCATGGGACGCGTGGTCTACATATCAGGAGCAAGCTTTCATGGTGTCTATCTTCCACTTTATGCCAGTGCACTTGAATTGGCTCAGTAATCATGGGAGATTAATCACCTAAGATTTCTTTTGATTAACCGATAAGCCATAAGAAGTTCAACTAGACCCATGAGCTGACATTTACACACTGAGCCATTTGTGGTTTCAGCCCACTGTGAAATTCTTTAAGCATCTAGTTGCTTGGAGGAGCTTTCTACTCACCACGGGTGATCAGGTGGGGGGCTTATTCTAGTTAACACCCTGATACTTGAAGCTGCATATACCTATCTGATTGAACCAAGTTCCTTCCAGGTAGTTTGGCCTACAGCTCTCATTAACCTCAGTCAATACGTAATTAATCATTATGTGAGTTGTAGTCCAGAACATCTCGCTGGCTCCAGCTTAGGGAAAGCTGC